AGAGAAGTAGTGTATACCATGTGCAAGAAAGCCTTATCAAAGAAATGTAGTCACTAACTCCTAAAAATCTCAAAAACTTCTGGTTGAAAAACTAAAAGAAGTTTACAGTGTAGAAGTTCAGCAATGGAATTTCCTATATTTGTGGTTTTGTTTATAACGCAAATAAATTCTTATATTACTGAAAGGAAGAAAGAGCTTAATAAAAAATATGTGAAAACAAGATTGTTTAAAATCAATAAAATGTTATTAAGGACTTGTAAAGTTTTACTTTCTTGCTAAAATTAGACACAGAATATTGAGCAACTACAGAATTTATTATTATAGCTGTGAGAATACTGGGTTTATGAAACCAGAAGATACTACAGGATAACATGTAACATTTTAAATAGTATAAATGGTATTTGAGAAGTCTTGTATTAAATATCTGGCTAATTATTCACAATAATATAACCACAACAAGCTATTTGATCTAGATACTAGTGTTTTGGGGAAAAATAAAAACCCAGGTTTTGAATCTGAAGTAGCAGTAATCTTTAGCTTGGAATGAAATCTACTTGAGTTTAAAAAGCTTTAGCACTTTTCAAGTTTTTCCACCTTAGATGAGGATAGTTGGAAAGACCTAGGTTTAAGCAGTAACAGTAACCATGCATCCACAGACACCACTCCTCTGCGACTGTTACTTGGCTTGTGAATTATTCTTCTATGAGCGTGGAAGAAATATTAGCACTTGATGAAACTGAACAGTTTGGAATATTTTGACCAGCAGAAAACAAGACACCTCCTCCCCCTCCCCCCCCCCCCCCCCATTTTCTTCCTATTATTCATCGTTGCAAAGAGGTTCTCCAAAAACGCTTTTCTGTATCAGGAATCCTACACATGTAAAGAGGTAAGAGTCAGCAAAATCTTGACTATCAGGTAACTGGAATGAAGTCAGAAGAATTTATTGTGTAAAGTTGTTTGAAAATACACTTGATGAAAATGCTGGAAATACTGTTCCTATTGTACAAAAATATCAGATTTATGTAAGTAGCTTTTGAAATCCAGTGTGAGAGGAGAGGACTGACTTATTATTCTAATAGATATCTTATGATTAGTCACCCAAATGTATTATCTTTTTAATCAAATCAATTAGAAGAGGTTGTAAAGAGCAGGAACTGGAAGCATTATTAAAAAATCTCCAAATGTTATCAGTGCCTCAGAGACAGGCTTAAGAAAAGGTAAGAACCATCCACCCACACACAAAGGATTTTTTCTTTATGTATAAAAAGTGCTTAACACTACTGAGATAGCAATCTCTAATCAAAATTCTACTCAGGTAGAATAATAAACTCCTACTAAATACTAACTTGAAATACTACCTCTCTAGCGAGGACATAAAATATGTATCTTGATTCACTACATGAGAGTATAAAAAAATTTAATAATTTCTTGTGAATACATCTATTGTTTATTGCAGCATATACTCCTAAGTAGCAAATAAATTCTTAGCACAGAGAAGATTTTTTTCATTTTATTTTGGAACAGCCCAACCATAAGGTTTTGATCAAAGCCAGTTCCACATTTTGGAGAGAATGCTTATTCTCAGCATATTCTTTCACAAACCTTTTAACTTCTCATCTTCCTTCTCCCTCAACCTCCTCCTTACTCCCAAGCCTAAGAATCTTTCAAGGATCATATCACTCTCCACCATATTATTCAGTATAAAAACCTTCAGAAATAAATCAAACACTTGCCAAAACAGTATGTCTAGAAACTCAAGATGCATGAAGAATGTCAGAATGTCAGTCATTCCGGACTGATCAGTTAATAGATCTAGAAGTCAAAAGACTAATACCACAAGCATCTAAAAAAAAAGTTTAGACAAGTTGGACAGATGGCTTTGTTTTAATGAGAGAATATAAATAACCAGAAAATTATTTTAGTCTATAGACCTGATAGAATGTGACTTGTACACAAACCCACACACTCAAGGACAAACCCAAACCATACTCCATTCTATTCCTCGTTAATATAAATTACTTGAAAGATTGTCTGGCTCTTTCTTGCAACAGTCATTTCACTGACCTTACTGAGAGCTGTAACATCATTTAAGTGACACCACTGATACTTTTGAACCGGGAATATTAATGTCACTTTAATTTATTCCAGGTCCCTGAAAGGAAGTTAGATGATTATCTCTAGAAAGAGATATACTTTAATGTTAAACTTGATAGGTATTACAATTAGTCATGAACATTAGAAAGCGAATCTTTCATGATACAGATACGCAGAAAGCATCGTCATGCCATCAAAAGTATCACTGTATTACTAAATGTTTTGTACACAAGGATCAGTGGGACCTTAGGGGGTTGTAGGTTCTGCCTGCCAGTGACACTACTTACTCTGGGAGCATGGGAAGGAAAAAGAAAAGAAGCATAAAAGAATTAGGTAGTACTGTGGCCCGGTTATGTGCAAGTAGTGCTGATATTGCAGAAGTATCTGCATACAAGAGTTCCAGAAGAGTTAGGTACTACAGAGGATGAAGAAAACCACACTGCAATAGAAACTACCGTGGCAGTGATATATTTTCCACAACCAGATATTATATGACAACGGTACTTACCATATTCGTATGGCGCATAGAGAGGTAGAGGAAAGGGTTATGTTATGATCATCATCAATAACTAGTGTGGAGGAAAAGACGGTGATTACACAGGTGAAAACTGCCTTTATGCACAGGAATTTATAAACACCTCAGAGCTCTGTAAATCTGCTTTAGTACAATGTTCACACAGGAGCCATGAATGAATTCAAATTAAAACTGAAATTTACGGTAGGTTTAGTATTTAAGCAGGATTACTTCTTATAACTGATTGCTGAGAATTACACTTTGTTATGTTATATGAAGCCTACAATGTGATTTAACATTTTTACTGTTCAGCCTATGATTTAATCTCTGAAGAGTACAATGATATTGTGACATTCTCCTAAAGGAGAGATGGTTGGATGGTCACTGAAGAAACAGCAATGTCAGTGGAAATGTCATGGCTCCCCAAGTTTTTGACCCTGTTTCCTCTGCAGAAGATTAATACTCATCTAGTAAAGTCAGAAAAATTGATCATGTGGGCATTTCTCATTTGCTTTAGTGCAGAGGGAATTGGATAATGTAACCCAATGTAGAAAACTTTCTATAAAGCTAAATGTTTCTGTACTTAAGCAGAAATGAACAAGTCAAAGGATCTCTATTCCACCAGTATCTGTTCCGGTGTGATAAGCCTCTGGCGACGGGAGGTGACTTCTACCAGAGGCCTAACGATGCAGGTGGAAGATGGTAACACCTTTGGTCAGCCCAGACATTTTGCAGAGAGCCTCTGACAATGTTTTGCTCTGTCCCATGAATGAATGTAGGTAAATGATGTTCTTAAATCAAACGGAAGGAGCTGCTAGAGGACACTGTAACTGACTTCAGGATATCAGCTCCATTTCAGTCAAGAACATGATCTTGGAACCCTCTGTGCCAAATTAAGATGTTTTCTTTTAGGGTCTCAGACATGTGGACACCATTTTTTTCTGTTGTGTGATCCCCACAGCAGTCAGAAGCAAGGCCAAAAAAGAATTTGCTAGTTTATGTTATCATAAAGAAAAAAAAGAAAGATTCTAGCAATTTGCCACTAGTAGCAAAGGTATTTGCAATAATTTGCATTTAAAAATACAAAATCAGACACTCTGAGTGATATAATTCCAGTTGCTCGGTCTCCATTAACAATCAGCAAAATTAGGGAGTACTGGTTCCAGCTGTAAAGAACTTCTGTGGTGCAGACACCTTTGCAGGTGGGCAGGTTAGGACACAAATGTTCCTTACAAGACAGAGGGCTACTGTCATGGTGTTGTTGATTTCTTAGAACATCATGGGGGGTTCAGGACATGCTACAGCCCAGACAATAGCCACAGGGGATTATTATCTCTTAGGCACTTAGGAAATTATTCTGCAAGTTGTTTAAAATTAAAACCTGGATTTTTAAAAGACTTAATTGTTAAAATTAATTATTTTATTATTAAAATATTAAACTCTATAGTTTCTGTTGTCTAAATATTATTACATTTTTACCTATTACTAAAATCAAATACAACCAACACTACAGTCCTACCGCATTTATTTTGATGCTATGCTTTTTCAATTTTTGATAGACTGAAGCTTTTCTGCTCAGACAATGCACTGTCCTTTTGCAAGAATCTGGCGGAGCTGGAAGCATAGGAGACAAGGGTAAGGACCCCAACAGCAGAGTGGGAACACTATCAAGATTGAAGAAAAACATGCCAGCTGAATGCTTCTGCTTAAAGGACCTGGGGTGAAATACCTGACAATGCTGAAACTAAAACAGGCTTATTCTAAGTTTTGAGCACAACAGATTGCCCTGAGTGGTCCCCTTTGTATCTCTCAGTTTCATCAAGACTGCACTCAGATAGATCAAGATTTGAAGACTGTTTTTTTCCAAGCATTAAAGAAATAAGCTTATAAGTACAAAAATTCAATTAGACTATGGGCTATAATTTTACTGTAAACAGTGGCCAGGGACTGTGGAATTTTATAAAAGTCTTCAGCACTAATAAATATGTGCAAAGCCTGAACTCACATTCTAAAAATATCTTTCTCATTTTCAGACTTGATAAGTAGGGACAATGAGAGTTTAAAACGTTAGTACTACTTGCTGTCACAATAACTGTACACAAGCTGCAGTGAACAATCACTTTTCCGGAACAAAGCACCCAATCCATACAGGTGAGAGGACGGCTGTAAGAGTTCGGCGAGGCTCAGCATGCCGCATCCCTAGGCAGCACATTGCTCAGGAGCAGGCTTGTTAGTAACAACACTAACACACACGGGTTGTTCCAAGTCTAAACAGTCAGATGAAGACGGCAGTTCAGGGCGACGACTAGGACAGGGATCATGCTAAACTTAATTGCTTTCACCCCCGGTGGGAAACTCGCAGATACCTAGCAAAATATCAATCGCCACCCACCTTCTGTGGTGACTGGGAGAGAAATCTCCATGCAGGCCGCAGACTGCGCTTTTCTGAAGGGAGGCCTCCCGGGCCCTCGGCGGTTTGCTTTCGAGACATCTGCACTGGAAAGTCGTTTTCCTGAACCACAGCTCTGGGACGTTGGACTTGTACAGTGACCATTGACGTGATCTGGAAAGTGAATGCAACAAGTGCTAGGTAAGGTGTCAGCTCCCGAAGCTCAGCACGGAGGAGAGACGTACGTTCTGATATTTAAGAATGGGTTAAATCAAATCTGAGAATAGCTACTTATTTGTATTACCAATCCAGCATGTATATGTAAGAATAACTCACCATATCTTTAAGGTATACTTTGAAAAAAAAAACAAAACAAAAACAAAACCACAAACACATGAGGGACATAGAACTGGTACATGTTCTAACAACTGCAGGTCCCACAGCATTTTGTTGACCTATGTGCACAGGCAATTTATCAAGATACTGCTGGTAACACTTTCATCCCTGCTGTTGTGTCTCCTAACAGATACCAGATAAACACTATCTTTCCTTTTTGCTCTCAAAGAACTGCAAGTGTAATTTATTACAGGATAGAATTTAGAGCTAAACATCTTCCCTTACCTGACTCGAAGCTGCATGAAACAGGCATATAACTACCACTGATTGGGATAATTATAAAAATTGCCATAACATTGCTAAGCATTTTATTCTTTATATACCACATAATTTTATTTTACTGCTAAGGAAACTGCCTGCTGAACAATTGATTTGTCTGCTAAAGATATGGGGCTAAGTCCTTGAACCCCTGCTAGAAGCCATGGTCAATCAGCACAGCACACGCTGCTGTCTGATGGAGTGAGAAAGAAAGCACAAATGCTTTAAACTCTGCCTGTGTTCCTCTGTTCTTCATCACTGGCAGCAGGTCTTTAAACCACAGCAATCCACCGATCAAGGCTTAGATCATAGTTCAGAGTGGGTTGGACTAGACTATAAAACATCCGTGAAATATTTTTAATCCTCTCATGCTGGGTAAGGTAACATGAGAAGAATTACTGAACACAATTTCCCTGTCAACATATGAAAGGCTACACACCCAGGTATAACTGAATTATTTTTGGCCAGCAGGTAATTAATATTTACTTAATTTAAGTAAACAGCAGGTAATAAGAATAACAAAAATCCAGTCATATGCAAGCACACTGAATATTTCTATTCAAAACTACGGAATCTCAATAATATAGGTAATATAGGACAAGCTTGGAATTTCTGCCTTCATTTTAAATGTCAGGTTATTTATATCTAAGAATTAGATTAGTCCTTAAAATTCTGTATGTATCATATTCAGTTACCTCTCTTTGATTGTATCCAAGGAAAAGATGAATGTTAATATACCAAGATAAATTTATTTCTTGGTTACCATGCCATGATATCTCCACTGTATATGATGAAAAGCTATTTCTATATTCAGATGATAAAACAGATTCTATACTGAATACAGCATATAGTATGCTATTACATGTAGTCTTCCAATGTGTAAGTCATGTCTGTTCCATGTGAAAGCAGTTCAGTCTTAATGAAGAAAATTGGAAAGGATTGTTCAGAATTACAGCTTATAAAGCAATTTAGTATCTGTACGGCATAATGAGATGGCTCTGTAGGAGACACAACTTGCAAGATTTTTATGTTTCTTAATACATGGCTATTAACTGGGATAACAGCAGATATAAAACTGATGTGGATGATTCATTCAACTTATAGTTAGGGAATTTTCCAAAATATGCTGGAACTATTAATATATTTCAGTAGAAAGTCCTTTGAGAGCAGGGGCTTTGTTCAAGGGCACAGGCTGACTGTTCAACCTCAGCAACAGACACATCCTCATCCAGCTGCTTCCTTTCTTCAAAATTCAGTTTGTATGAAGGAGTTTCAGCATGATACCTAATTATCTCCAAGGGGATCCTAGGAAGTGCTGAGGAACATAACAGAGTGAAAAAGAGTCATATTCTATAGAAACATCAACAACATTTGCGAGTGCCTTTCCCTGAACGTTGCACAGAATGGGCACGATTCAGCTAAACCCCTAATCACTACGCTAAATTTAAAAGAAATGCTGCTGTTATTTCTGTTAGCGTGCTTGCTTGTCTCAGTTACCTTCAAAGGCCCAAATTAAACAAAATCATTAGGATCTGGACACCTAAATCCCTTTAACTGTTTTGACAATCCCTTTCTGAATAAGCAAAGCCAGCTCCTGTGTAGAAAAAAAATAGGCCTCATCCTAGAAGCTGCAGGAATATCCCTTCAAGTAGCGAAGCTGGTGAAATGTTAATGAGTGCTACAACAAGCGGAAGGGGGATTTTAATGATCAGCTACACACTTCTACATTTTAACACTATTCTGTTCTTCTGATTAGGTATAATTATTTTTTAAATGTATACAACAAGGAGTAACGCAGCTCTTCAAACTTCAGTAAAAACAAAAAGACATTGTATGAAGAGTAATATAATTATGGGAAGTATGACGGCAACACTGTTGCTGAGAAGCATCAAGCAGATGAAGACCACCCAAATCTATGAGAAAAACCTGTGTGTGTGTTTAAAATTTAATTTTTCACGTTTTTTTTATGGTGTAAGCTCAGTGATACAAAGTGTTTCTAAAAAAAAGATAATGTACTATTTCAGAAAGGGTTCCTTACTGCATTGTCTAAAATACCAGTAAGTGTGCAAGAAAAGTGGTAAGAAAAAAACAGTACTAGTTTCCTACAGTGTACTTTCTAAGGGAGACTGTGAGTATGCTCAAGCTTCCACTTTTTGACAAAATGACTGCAATGGTTTACTAGCCCTCTGAGACCCAATCGCCTGATGCTTCTTCACCATGACAGATGTCTTCCAATCATCCCAAAGAACAGGTAAAAGAGGTTTATAGAAGTCTGGCTTTTTTCCAGCTTTGTTCCATTTGTAAGGAAGAACAACATTTTAACTTATTTTTTCTTGCTGGCTTACTGCTTTTGTCCTGTGGCCACCAGGGCTTTTCTCATATCAGAAATATTAGTTGATACTGAGCACCAGTTGATATAGGAAACATTAACATTGGTACTTAAAAAGCAGTGCATGGATCACTCTGTGCTGTTGATGCAATTGTGCAACAGCTCCTAACTCTCTCTTTTTCTGGAGACAGCAGAGAACAGTTGCCTAGGGAGAAAACACTGCACAAAAAATCCCCTTCTCTTTTCTGCCCTTTTCCACCACTGCATTTACCATCGCCTGCTATCCCTTTCCTATGGGTGCTGCTGCTGCTCATAAGGCCAAGGGATTTTTGCATTATAATCTCTAGTGCTCCTAGATGCCAGCAGCAAGTACCAAGTTACTAACGCACCCCGTTGGGGCATCCGGGCTCGGTGGAGCTTATCCTCGAAGCAGACTGCAGACTGTCACAGCCATCCCACTCTGCCAGGGCAGCAGCCTTTTCTCCTGTTTGTGGATAGTGAACTAAACAGCCAGGGCTCAGTCTCTAGCTATTCTGTTCATTAATTTAAAAATGTAAGGCTTATGCAAGCCACTGGAAGTAATCATAGCAAATTATCCCATGCTACAATACATTAGTCCATTTTATACTGATTTAACTCCACTGATTTAATAAAGCAGCTCGTAATGCATTGTATCTAAGGCGTATTAAAATATACTAAAGAGGAAATAAAATTCTCTAATGTTCTCCATGTGCTGCTTCTAAAGTGCAGGTGCTGGTTGTTTGCCTTTGTCTGGGCTCATGGCGTCACCCACACCCGTCAAAAATGCTTTAGCTATCCCCGTTACCAAACAGTAGCACCAGTCAGTGCAGCGTGCACCCAAAAAAATTGCTTAAAAAAAGGAACAGAACTGTGCTGGATGAAGGCTAGTTTGTCACACAAAATACCAGTGAGATGGGAAGATTAAGAGGAACTGAAGAAGTAACTTTAGTTACTGTGTCCTGATGAAACTACCGAGAGATGCCTTATGAGACTGCAATGTGCAACATGACAGCAGCGAGCCTGCTGGAGAGGCTCAATCTAATTTTTTTCAGGAGTATTACAGAGGCAGGGAGCATATTATATCTACACATGCTGATTTTAGTTTACATACAGTAACATGTGCACGTTACACAACCTGCCTTGTCATACGACTGTTTTAAACTACTTGGAGACCTGTGCAAAAAGCAAAAGAAACCAACAATTTACCCATAAAAAGCTGAACTCTTGTTAAAACCAAATGTATTAAAAATGTCAGTAAGAAAGCAGAAAAGTTGCTGCCTAGCAAGTTGTGTTACACTAAACATAATAAATAAAAAAAAATGCAAGACCAACCATTTTTTTCAGTTCTAAAAAAGGGATAAATCCACACACAAAAACTAGCTGAAAACCAGCTCTTACTAATGATCTGAGAGAGGTTGGGAACAAAGGAATTTAAACATGACTAATTAGAAGCATTATAATATCATCTTAAGTTGTAAGGAAGTAATCAATAAAAGAGCAGGCAAGAGGACCAGAAAATGATGCTTAAATAGGGAGCAGAAAGAACCTGAAAAAATGAGTCCCAGAGAATCTCCTCAACAAATGTTGATCTCTGCTGTTAAATGGCGGAAAAGTCCATCTGTTTCCACTGAGGGATTTTGTGTATTATCAGTAAATTAGATATTGGGTATTATTTCTTTACGAAGCAAAGAGATACACATTTAAATCAAGAAAAAGAAGAGATCTCATAACTGTCCAATTGGCCAGAAGAACAGTCTCAGGTCTGCATGTAAAATAACCCAATCTTGTGTAAAAGTAGTGTGATCGTTCATTAGCAAGAATACCGACTGACACCTTAAACTTTTAATGAATTATCCTTGAAAGAAAATCTCCTACAAAGTCAGGATCACAGGTCTGTCAGCCAGGCAGGAGGGGAAGTGTGAGCCCTAGCAGAAGAAGCCGGTACAGATGTACTGCCAGCAAAGTGCATATTTACCATTGTGTCTTCATCAGTTTGAAGAGGAAGGATGAACTGCCCTCCTGACATTCTGCTAGCACATTTAGGTCCACACTAGGAGTATAACATGCTGTCATTGTAATACGCTTCCTGTGTAATATAATGGTATTCTTATTATGGTAATGAACTCCCATCAGGCGCTTGATGCTAGATATCACATTGTTTTTGAAAGCA